CTTTTCTTCTGTCTTTACAGTAACTTGAAGGGGCTTTCCTTTGGTACTTTTTCCAAATCCCATGACTGGGAATTATTTTTTGTAGTGTTCCAGATTCAGGGTTTTATGTTCATTCAACTTGAGGAGCAGCTCTGGCAAGTAGTAACAGCTGATGCCCCTTCATTTTTTTCCCAAATGGCTCTAGACTGTGATTGTGATTCTTCAAATCCAGTTCAACAAATATCAAAATGGAGCAGAAACAGAGCTCTCCTGCAGGTAAGAGCTGTAACCTATGTAATAGAGGTGTGTAAGGGAATCACTATGACAGGGGCCTGCTTTCAGAAAGCTTTTTTCAGGGCACTTGTGGCTGCTTCTTTAGTTCTCATTAATTATTACATGGAATTTAGTTGGGAAAAGTGGCACAAATAACTTCTTTTCTAACAACAGTTGTATATCCAGTGAACTTTCCAATAGTTTCTCTATGTAATGACTGAGCTTTATTAAGCCAATTTTTTTTTTTTTTTTTTTTTTTGAGACGGAGCCCCAAGCCCCCCCCCTGGGTAGAGTGCCGTGGCATCACGCTCACAGCAACCTCCAACTCCTGGGCTCAAGCGAGTCTCCTGCCTCCGCCTCCCAAGTAGCTGGGACTACAGGCACCCGGCATAAGGCCTGGCCATTTTTTGGTTGCAGCCATCATTGTTGTTTGGCGGGCCCCGGCTGGGGATTCGAACCCGCCACCGTAGGTGTATGTGGCTGGCGCCTTAGCTGCTTGAGCCACAGGCGCCGAGCCTATTAAGCCAATTTTAAGCCAGGCACAGGCAGGGAGGGAGGATGTTTCAAACGTCCCTCCCAACTCCAGCATGCCAGGCGCCTGAAAGTCCTGAGTGTGCCCATCTGAAAATGGCTAAAATCAAATCAAAACATCGCGTCTCAGCTTCACTTTTTAGGTATTTCAGCACTGAAACTTCTTCACATACCAATGTGGCATTTACCAAAACTTAAGGACAAAACCAAACCAAAAACAAAACAAAAAACCCTGCTCCCAGTGGTGATGGTGAGAGGAAAGTGGACTCTGGCTGAGTAGGTGGGGAGGGACAGCGGGGTAAGCAGGAGACTGGCTCAGGTGAGCTGCCCAGGTCTGATCGAGAATCATCCCAGCACAAATCATCCTATAAAGGCAGGTGCCAATGTGTTTTTAATCAGCCACAGCTTTTCAAAGCTCACACCTACAGTGTCTGTCAAGAGTCTCTAGGTCTGGGCTCAGGCTGGTGGTCCCACTTCCATCCTACCAGACGCAGCAGAGTTCATGCAGGCTGCTCGTAGATTCCATATGGCAGCCCGCACCTGGTGGCTTCCCCACTTTGTGCTGATTTAAAGTTGGCATCTGTTTTTTTGGTTTCTGCCTTCTGTGGCAGCAACACAGATTGCTCTGGGAACCTGGGGCCTCTGTCAGTCTGTCAGTTCTGATCCACAACCCAGATAGCAGCAGGCCTGTGCCACCATTGACCTGGTCTCCTGGGGGTGGGCCGAGAGGCCACAGCCCTCAGACTGACCCCCTTTGGTGTTAGGGTCTTTGTTCACAGGCCAACATGAAGCAGGGATTTCTTGTAATGTTGATCTCTTTCTTTAGGGTTGTGGGTAACTGGTCTTTTTAGTTCTACAGAGAATAAATGGGAACCTCTGAAATGTTAGCTGATGACACACAATACTGGGGAGAAAACAAATGTTACAAAAACAACACCATGCACAGCTGTTCAGCAAAACTATAAGGAAGAAAGGCACTGGGCAGGAAGGGCAGTTTGGGAAGTGGCAACAGTGTTTCTCATTTTGTGGCCTTATCTGCTTCACACTGTCCTCTCTGCAAGTCACTGGAGAAGAAAACCAAAGATTTTCCTTGGACATGAGACTGTGGTTCTGAGACCACAGTTATGCCTCATAAGAAAGTGCAGGGGGTTCTGAGCTGCCTTTAAGCCTCTTCCCCTCTGGCCCGGGTGGGAGGGAACATGAAGGCCTGGCCCAAAGCACACCCATCTCCAGGCTCCTTGGAGGGCCTCCTGCTGGCTCTTCCAGCTGCCGAGCTGGTGACCGTGAGACCCTGTCTGACTGCACCAGAGTCTCTGCTGCTCCTGCGGTGTGGCCTGTGCTCTCCACTGGGCCCTCCACTGGGTACTTTCCCAGCACTTCTTCCCCACACTGTAGCTTGAAAGAGGCACTTTCTTTTTGGGCAACATTCCTGCTCCTTTCATGAGCCCCTTCCCCTGACCTGTCTCATGCTTCCCAGTTCTGAGAGCTCAGGTTGCAGAGATTCTCCTGTTTATACTGGCTGTGCATAGTGGACGGCCTTGCTGACCACTTCCTAGTCCCCCAGGTCCTAACTCAGAGGTCAGCAAACGTCAGCCCATGCCTGGTTTCTAACAGTCTATGAGCTAAGAATGAGTTTTACATTTTTAAATGGTTGGAAAAAAAATCTGGAGAAGACTATTTCATAACATGTGAAAATTATGAGAAACTTAAATGAAGCTTTCCTGGAACCCGGCCATGCCCCTTCTCCTCCCTGGTGTCTCACAGCTGCGTTTGTACTACAACAGCAGAGGTGACTGGTGGGGACCGGGACGCACAGCCTGCGGAGCTAAACTATTCACGACCTGACTCTTTATAGAAAAAGATTACTGGTTCCTGGTCTGCCTAGAGCTTCTCCTGACTCTCCGGTTCAAATAATTTTCACTTACCGATCTAGAAAGAGCTGGTCCTTCCAGGTTCTAATCTGGAGGGGACCAGATAAGGACAGTGTCCCTCCAGCTGCGTGCAGGACCAGGGTCCCAGAAGCAGCACTGTCTGCTTCTGTGCGTACTCACAGCTCTTTCTCTTACGGCACCCTGTCTGTTCATGGTCCCTCTCTCACCCCATTAGCTTCTGTAGGTCTGAAACCCAGTTCTGTCCGTCTCTAATCTGGAGCCTAGCAGAGTGTCTGATACAAACTGGTAGACAAGACGTCCTTGTGGTAGTCCTCTTCCTGTTTGTTCCTTTTAAACCACCCTATTTGCCTGGAAGACAGTTGAATGAGTTTTAAAACCACATATGTAATGTTAATACTTTATAATATACTTTTTCAAATGGGAAATAAATTTTGAAGGAAAAGCTTGCACCCTCTGGTACTGTTTCACATTCAAGCAGAGAACAACACAGTTATACTATTTGATAACAGCAGAACTGATTTCCATTTAATGGAAAGTGCCTACAAAGACACAGTTAATACTCCTAAACAAAACTTAGGGTTAGAGATCACCTTAATCCTAGAAACTCTACAAAGAAAGGATGAGGCTTGGGCAGCACCCATGGCTCAAGGAGTAGGGCGCTGGCCCCATATACTGGGGGTGGTGGGCTCAAGCCTGGCCCCGGCCAAAACTGCAAAAAAGGAAAATGAAAGGATGAAGCTTGGGGAAGCTCAGCCAGTGCTGGAGGCCGTGCAGTCAGGCTCTGACAGAAGACTAGTCGAGGGTGGAGGCCACTTGCCTCCCCTGTGGTTCGCTGTCTTGACAGGCACATTTTCTTCACCGTGTTTCCTCAGGGGAAACCATACACCAGGAACTTGGTGGGGTCACACTATGTCTTCTCCTGTGATCCTCTCGAGTGTGCATTCTAGCTTTTTATGCAGTGGAACCCTTTATCCAGAGATAAAGCTGTGCTCTTCATTCAAATATTCAATAATAAGATCTAGGGACGGGTTTACTAACAATGTAGTCCTGAGTGAAAGGGACAGGAAATAAAAGTATCTATGATTTTGATTGATGAGAAAGACACAGATATCGACACTATTGTTTGTTAACTATTCATGGAAAAGCTGTATTTCAGTTAGAGCTTAGTGAAAAAGATATTTTCCCCCCATTTAAGCTCATGAATCCTATGAATTCTGCCCATGGACCTCAGGTTCCCTGTTCTAGAGGTAATTTGGGAGAAATTCCATTAATAGGAAGAATTTATTTGCAGGTCTAATTAGGTCTCCTGAAAACAGATCTAAAGAAAATGAAATTCAATGTACAAAGTCTGCATTCACTTAATAATTAAAACCCAACCTCTTTAATCCTCTGAAAGATGGTCTTACATCATATAGATTGATAATTAGGGTAGACATGGTCCATTAAGTCAGTGTACCAGATATTCTGCACTTACTGGGAATTATAAATGTTATACCCTGAGATACAACAGATCATAGCAAAGGCTGCAAGTTTTTTCCTTATGTATGCTTGGGCTGGTGAGTTAATATGTTGTTGGTCCCTTAAGTATTAAGGGTTAGTTGTTAAAGGAAGTAACTAACCTAACCCACAGAACTAAAATAGAAAAATCTTGGAAATTAACACAATCCCTGAATTTTAAGGATAAGGTCATTGGAGCTTAATTAAAAGGGGAGTGATTTGTCTGGGTAATTGATAATACTTTGGAAAATGATGAGATTTGAACAATGCTGATATTATCAAAAAGTCTATGTTCTCCTTTCAACACTTATTTAAATTCTGATTTCTCTATTGTAATTTAATGAATTATTATTAGTCAGTATAGTGTATTTTATTTTAAATATTTAAGTGGCTATTTTGTTTAAAATAAATGTCAGAGCTCAGAAAACTGATCTTCCTAACATGATTTAACAAAGCAAGACCTTCCTAACAAACTTCAAAAATGAAAATTAACTTAGCTAACAGTTCAGAAACCAATTAATACTAATGGAACTATTTTTCCTTATGAAAAGGCACAGAGTTTACAAGAGCCAAACTTCTTCCGCTTTATTTGTAATAACAAAAATAAACTGAAGTCCTGACATATTTGTAGTATTTTTATTCCTAAAGGAAAAAACAGGAACTTTCATTGTACTTTAAATTTAAAGTTATTACCTCAGATATTTTGCCAGCTTAGCACTGTGAAATCAGTTTCAGACAAAAGAGACCAATTGCTCTCTCTAGGAAATACTTAATTAGGGTGGTGCCTAGGAAATGCCCAGGGGTCCTGTAACTGATCAGTTTTTCCCAGAGGCTCCTGCACTGTCTGAGTCCTGGCTGGACCGCAGGCGCTCTGCTCTGATTTTTTCCTGTTGCCTGGCTAGTGACCCCCTACAGGAAGATAACGGGTAAGCCAGGAGGGCGGAGCAGCGCGCTACACATGTCTGGCTGCTCTTATCAACTTATCATATAAGGAAAGGAAAGTGATTGATTCAGATAGTGACATTGTAGGATCTGGGGAGAGAGAGAGAGAGGGACACAGAACCTGCAAGCTGCTCTGTAAAGCAAACGCAGCCTCCAGAGTGAGCAGGACTGTTCTTCCCACCGCAGTCTGACAGTTCACTGCATGCCGGCAGAGAAGACAGCATTCAAAGCCAAGTTTGCCACTGGAAAAGGAGGGAAAAGAAGACTTTCATCGATGCCCCCAGTCATGGCAGCATAGCCTGTGTTTCAGACAGCCGCTCGGGACTCAGCACTCGCATGTGCCTTGAGGTTTGCTAAGCTGGTGGTTTATTACCCGAAGAAAGAAAGAATGTGGCAGATTGTTTTCTTTACTTTGAGCTGTGATCTTGTCTTGGCTGCAGCCTACAGTAACTTTCGGAAGAGCATGGACAGCATAGGGAAGAGGCAGTACCAGGTCCAGCACGGGTCCTGCAGCTACACTTTCCTCCTGCCGGAGATGGACAACTGCCGCTCTTCCTCCAGCGCCTACGTGTCCAATGCTGTGCAGAGGGACGCGCCCCTGGATTACGACGACTCTGTGCAGAGGCTGCAAGTGCTGGAGAACATCATGGAGAACAACACACAGTGGCTGATGAAGGTAAGAAAAGCCCAGTCTGACTCTGGGCACAGCTGGTGCACCAAGACTGGGTGTTGGGTTTTACCAACCCAAAAAAAAAAAAAAAAGGATAAAAAGGATTAGAGCTGATGAGCTGGTTGCTGGTACCATTGAATGAATGACCATTTCTTTTATTCTATCCCAGGGTGTAAAGTGGTCCTGGGGTGAAAAGTGAAAAGAATTATTTGAAAAGGATGCCAGAATCAATACAGAAAATCTCTAAACTTAGAACCCTTTACTAACAAAGTAGAGGAAATACACTGCTCTGTGAAACTTGTAAGCTGTTCTGTTTGTTTATGTTGTTTAAGCTCAGCAGCACCCATTCCCAGGGGCGTCCTAAACTGGCCCCAGGCAAGTGAGGGAGGCTGGGAGCAGCCTGGGAGCCAGGAAGAACAGGACAACCATGTAGGGCTGACACACAATGGATGGAGTAAAGTGCTTTACCAATTTCCTGAATTTATTTACTGAAATAGATTGTGACTCTTGGTAAATGAGAGGAAATTAAATAAAGCAGACCTCATATTTCTCAGAATCTCAGGGCTGTGCCCCCAAGGGCTTGCCATCTGGAGACGGGAGCACGTTTCCCAAGTTCCTGCAGGGACTCGGGCTGTAGCCCCAGCACTCAGTTCCCGCGACTGGCTCTGAATGCGTCCCCACGTGGGGTGGTTGTGCTCAAGTTAAGCCTCAACAGGACCGTCTGACAGTTTGTTCTCCCGGCTGAGATGATTCCACTATTTCATAGACTTTTTATAGAAAGTTTAACCAAAATAGGATATTGAAGGCTCTATTTTTCCTTCACCAGTGATAATTTTCACATATAAACATGACAATGATTGTATAAAACCCCAAATGACCCTGGAATTTTCTTTATATAGACTATATGTATGTATCCTAAAGGAAGTTTAAATAAGACGTGAAAATCAATTGATCAGTAAATCTTGTGATGACATTACACACACAAGGCTTACTGTGACAGAATCTGGTCATTTTAAAGCCACACAAAGTCTTTTAAAAGTTAGTGAGTCTTATTTAACACCTCCCCCCTCCCCAAGTACGATTATTCTCTCCATCTTTCATTTCCCCATAAGCTTTTTGTGAGGGTACCTTATCTTAATCTCAGAATAGCTCTTAGATGCTAATCTGCGTTTCTCATTAACCTCCTACCTTCAGAGAGGAAACACCAAAACTATTACTTGAGCCATACGCCTAAATGAATGAACGCTCCCAGCACCACTGTTTACTGGGAAAAAGGGGGAGATCACTTTAAATCAAAGGATACAAAACAATAAGAATTATCGAAGAGACCTAACAAATATAGATAATGGACCGTCGCAGTCATCACCAAGGCTAAACTCTCCACTGAGTTTTTCTCCTTTCTCAAGTCCCTGCAGTGTGCTTTTGAAAATCTTCCCACAATTCACAGATGTGCAAATAATAAGGCTAAGCTTCAAAGGTGTGCAGCAACACAGGTTAGAGTGTGTGCAAAGCAAACTGTACCCCAACATCTGCTGTAAATTGTGATGCTCAGGGTTAAAAACCCCCATGTCTACACTGGCCTGGGTAACGGCAAACACAGCCACAGGAGGGATAAAAATCACATTGTAGTGAACGTTCTAATCTGCCCCTACCGGCAAGGCAGCGCTCAAATAAACGCTCAGGAAACATAAAAGAATGTTTTGGCCTTGCTTAACTGTGCTTGCCAAACTAAGCCCAGGTTAGGTATACCTGAAACCCCATAAACAAAGCTCAGATTTCTTTCTTAAACGACTCCTTTTTTCTGGGTTTCTGAGATATCATCTAAGGATGGAAAAGGACCAGGAATTTTACCTTAGGTGACCAAATTTTCTTCCTCCCAGGATCTATTAGCAAATATTTGAACAGTCGTAGCACAAGGGTCATTCAAAAGCCCTTCTCTAGCTAAGTTCTGTCTCGCCGAGAGCGGCTCCATGTTTGTCTTTTCATGGACTCAGCACCTGCGCTTCCTGGCCTATCTCAGCGATGTGCAGAGAGGCAATCCGTGCTCACACCCATTGACAGGCGTCTGGCTTGGGAATGAGAGTGAGAAAGCAAATATGAAACCTGCTTAAAGTGATTAAATGTGGCCTCTCTGTTTGCTTTTCTCTTCTGTGTTCAGTCACCTGTGATAACAAGCACTGCTCTTCTGGTAAGAATATCCTGCTGTAAAATGGGATGAGAGAGGAGCCCCGGGACACAGGGTCAGCGTCATAGCTGAACATCTTTGGATAGGTTAGCCCAGAAGAAGCACCACAATTCTGTGCTTTTCACTGTCTTAACATAGTTCCTTTTGGGCTGCTTTTTGTTGTTGTTGTTGTTTCCATATTTCCTTCCTCTCTCTGATCAACTAAAAATGAAAGCCAAAAAACCAAAAACAAAAATAAAACAAAACCCACAACAAAAATGCCCCACAAAAGCAGTTAACCTTTAAAGAAATTTAAAAACTTGTCAGAAAAGAAAATAAAACCAAGCTTCTGGTTAATTTAGGGCAAATGAACATCAGTTCCACTTCTGATTGTAAGCCCAGACTGATCTTAGTCTGAGAAAGCATTTCACACATGGCAAGATCCTCCTTGGCCCCTTGAACCTGTCAGGGAGAGGAAGCGTCGGACTTTGGCTGCTGAGGGATGTGAACGCTGGGATGGCTCCCTGGCTGGGTGGTGACTGCGCAGGGAGGGGATAAATCCATCCTGGTTCATGCACCAAACCCACCACGATGACCTGAGAGGCCACCACGTGTCACGCTTCCCCTGCTAATCTTGCAACTGTTCTAAACCTCTGTCTTGGTGACATTAAACAAATAATGCTTTATAAAAACTCAAACAACCTAGCAAAATGGAGTTTTATTTTTTTGGTAGGAGGAAATATGGAAAGGAAATAAACAACTATTTCACAGTGATGAACGAATGCCTTATATTTTATTAGCAGCTGCAAACTCCATGCACACTTTAAAAGAGAATGATTTGAGAAATAAGGCTATTGCCTATTAAACTAATATAAAACTGATGTAAACATTTCCTCTGCCATCTCACTTATTAAAAAAAAGAGACACAAGTACAGGTTGGAAACTGTAAAGTTGAATTGTGATCCTTTCTTTAAGTGTTAACAATACATCCTTTTAATAAGGTCTGAGAGGGACGGCTCACTGGCCGGTGTGCAGGAAGCAGTGTGGTTATGCACAATTCCTGTCAGTGGGAAAGATGGAGGACGAGAAGTGCACGGACGGCTCAGCTCACCAGACCCACCCCGCCCTTGCTAGGGCCTGCGTGTGTGTTTTATCATGTGTGGCTGCAAAATGATCCTTGGCTGTGTAACAAAAAACAGAACAAAACAAACAACCCCCCTGAAAACCTCAGCGCTTGGTTCATTAAAGGAAAGAAAAAAACCCCATCCTGTCCACAGCCACTGGCCTCCTGTAGTAGTGAAAGAGAAGAACCAAGGCTGTGCTCCACCGATTACCCTGAGTCAGACGGACCGGGACAGTGTTCAGTAGTAGAAGCAAATTCTGTGTCTTCACAGAAGCTGATTAAACCCTGTATTTAAGAATGCGGGAAAATAACTGCTATTATATTAATTACACAGTAACATCATTATAGTGAGGGATGAAGACACTAAGATCCATCGTCCTGGAGGAAGTGCCAGATCTTTGCTTGGAGAGTGCAGTCTGACAGTTTACTATGTAATGAAGCACCCAGCGCAGTGGGTGCTTACTACACACAGTGCCTGACACAGTAGATGTTTATGGACATGCAGAGGGCGCCAACAATGTATATACTACAGACATTTTCAGAAAGAAAAAAAAGGATTAAATTTGTAACACTCCAGTCACAGTTTGACTTTGATATTTACAGGAGGGGCTAAACATGATTTGGGTTCATTTTTTGTTATTAATATTGAATATTATAATTTTAATAGAGTTTACTCCTTTCTTTCTCCCTTTTTTTCCCTTCCTGCTTTTCTTTCTTTCTTTCTTTTTTTTTTTTTTACACAGAGTCTCACTCTGTGCCCTGGGTAGTGTCATGGCATCATCATAGCTCACAGCAACCTCAAACTACTGGGCTCAAGTGATCTTCTGGCCTCAGCCTCCCCGGTAGCTGGGACAACAGGTGCCCACTATAATGCCTGGGTAGTTTTTTTCTTTTTTTTTTGAGACAGAGTCTCACTTTGTTGCCCTGGGTAGAGTGCTGTTGCATCACAGCTCACAGCAACTCACAGCAACCTCAAACTCTTGGGCTTAAGTGATTCTCTTGCCTCAGCCTCCCAAGTAGCTGGGACTATTATAGGTAACCACTACAACACCCAGCTATTTTTTTGTTGTAGTTGTCATTATTGTTTGGCAGGCCTGGGCCTGGTTCAAACCTGCCAGCCTCGGTGTATGTGGCTAGCACCCTACCCCCTAAGCTATGGGCGCTGAGCCCTGGCTAATTTTTCTGTTTTTTTTTTTTTTTTTTTTAAGTAGAGACTGGGTCTCGATTTTGCTCAGGCTGGTCTTGAACTCCTAAACTCAGGTAATCCACCCAACTCGGCCTCCCAGTGTGCTAGGATTACAGGCATGAGTCACCTTGCCTAGCCTATCCTTTTCTTGTTTTCAGGCAGTCTCTGCTTATTAAATGGGGCTGTCTAACATACTGGATTAACTACTTTGGTACCCTACTATGGGGAGCTGGTTATTTGCTTGCAGAGTCTAGAACTAGGGAATGGACTTCCATAATATCTTACTTCCTAATGAGATGCTAGATGATGCTAGATGATCCATACGGTTTCAACAGTGAAATTCGAAAATCTGTTGATTTTAATCAATATGGCTTTTTACAGTTGATCATCATTTTGTAATCCAAAGTTTGTAAGCCAGTTACTGTACTGGAGCTTGAAAAGGGTAACTGTCTTACAAATGGTGTTCATGTGCTGGGGGTGTCCTGCCCCATGATGCTTATTTTAATCTATATGTGAATAACTTAAAAAATATA